TACAGGCATGTGCCTTCTTAGGGTTAGAGTGAGGGCGTTTGCCGGGAGGCCCCGGAGCACTGTGCACTGGGACTTGTTCAGTGCAGGGGAATGGTCACACGTCCGGTCCACCTGACTGTCATGCACAGTGACCTGAGCAAATAGAGGGTAGTCCCAAATCATTCACCCTGGCTGCTTGTAACAGCCTCAAGAAGAGTGTCACGGCAGTATATTTCTGTCTTCTCTGTGGTGCTTTCCCTATGCACAGGTGTGTGTGGGGTTGGGGTGACTGTGGAACACATGATGTGGACAGATTGCACGGCGTGTCGCCCCTGCCCGCTTCCTCTACCCACCCTCCTTTGCTGTTGCTACAGCCTGTGAGCCACTCCTTCTAGCCGGAGTCAGTCACAGGAATCAAAATTATTAGGTGTCTTGGTCAGCTGAGGCTGCTGTAACAAGGTACCCAGACCAGGCAGCTGTAACAACAGACATTTGTGATCTCACAGTTCTGGAGGCTGGAAGCCCCAGACCAGGCATGCAGGGCTGGCCCCTCCGAGGCCTCCCTTCCTGGCGTGCAGACCCCCGGCACTGTGCTCTCACACAGCCTTTCCTTGGTGCAATGTGCACACATCACTGCCGCCTCTTTCTCTCCTTATAGGGGCATCAGTCACACTGGATTAGAGCCCACCCACATGACCTCACCCTAACTTATTACTTCTTTAAAGACCCTGTCTCCAAGTACAGTCCCATTCTGAGGTATGGGGTGGTGGTGGGGGGGGGGTTAGGACTTCCACATATGAATTCTGGGGAGAGCACACAATTCAGAAAACATTTGGAAAGGCTGGGAAAAATAAAGAAATACTATTATACCCCCCCGCCCCCAGTGAAAAGGAGGACTACATATATATAACTATATATATATAACTATAACTATATATAACTGTAACTATATATATATAACTATATAGTTATATATATGTATATTTAAGGGTTAGTAAAAGACTTAAAAAGAAATAAGAGAAACGCAGCAGGTTGGGCAGGGGGAGGGGTGGGGTGGGTGTAGCCTCCAGACCCAGCACTGGGGACTGCAGCTGAAACAGTCATCAGGGTCCCCGAGGAGGAATCTCCCCCTTGGTCTGTGGCAGTGACAGGGCCTACTGTAAGCGGTTCTTCTCTCATGAGTGATTCCTGAGTCTGGGTTTCCCAGGGTCCAGGCCACAGTAGGGATTCCTGAAGCCTGCAGGGTCTTTTCACAGATGCTGGTGTTCCTCCAGGCATGCTGGAGCAGCCCTGCTTTCTGCTTACTCTGCTTTCTGTGTCTCACATGGACCCCCACCTCTGATGACTGTGACTGAGCTCTCCATGCAGCGCCCCTCTCCCTGGGCCAGCTGTACGGAGGCTGTGGGGAAATCTCCTTCAGAGTCCAAATGCTTCCCCCTGAAGTTACTGTTTTGAGAATGCTCACATGGTGCGAGCAAGTGAATGTTTTATGATTACATAGCAGATGGAAGCCAACTTTATTTTTGAAAAGGCTTATAAATGGAACGTAGTTAACATAAACTGAACACAGACAGCACTGCATGGCCCAATAGCAGCGTCTCTCCTGGGTGAGTCCCAAGATTGCCCTGTCTCCTGGGGACCCCATCACACCAAAGCCTGTGCCCCTAATTCTCGGGCGTACTCCAGCTTCCTCTGTGATAGGACAATTACTTGTCTTTGGGAAACTCTTCTGAAAGAACTGGCCTTGCAAATTGCTCCATCTTCCTGTAGGAACCCAGCAACTGGAAAGATGAAGAGGGGATGCCTGTAATGATACAAAGTCAAGGTGTGACCTTTGGAAAGGAGATAGGAGCATGGCCAGAGTGTTTCAATCTGTCAGACAGCAAGGCCAACTGTCTCTGTACTCAGAAGAGGTCAGGCTGTTTGGCGATAAGCAAGCAGGATGGCAGGGGACACTCCTGTGCTTTGTCTCAGATCCAGCTGGCCTCAGGGCTGAGCCCTGATGATGGGCCTTGGCGACAGCCAGTGGGCCCTTCAGTCTCCACCAGGTGGCAGGACTTGTCACAGTGAGGAGCAGTGTTGAAGAGTGGTTGGCCCTGTGGGGAGCGTCAGGTCTCCCAGGAAGGGCGATGCTGCCTCCCCAAGGGTGCCTTCCAGTGGTGGTGTCTTGCCTCGCATTCATTTTGGAGGGCAGAGGCTGCATCTAACTTGTCTTTCTGTGCCTTTAAGCACCCAGAGCCATACTTTGTAATTGATTTGGTGGATCTTGAATTAAAGGAACACAGGGAAATAGAGGCTTAAAATGGAAGGGGACACTCTCCTCTACAGCATCAAGACAGTTGATAGCTAAAAGCCCCTTGAAGGTTGCCACGGGTTCCCTCAAATCTACTCTGTGGAATAAAACATAGGCGTAAGAATTGGTGGATGGCTTCCTGGAGCTCCAGACTCTTCCTCCTCCTCATCCAAAGCGCAGAGTCACACAGATGTGGCTAACACTGTCTGCCTCGAGATCCAGACTTGCTGCCCAAATTCTCACTCTGGGAATTTGGGCGAGGAGTGGAGCTTTATGGGGGTAGGGAGGACAGTAAGACGGGTATGGTTAATGCAGCGTGTGTTTTAGTGTTTTTCTTCGTCAACAATATCCACCAGAGGATTGCTTGATGAGGTATGTGTTAGCATATTTTTCCAGGGTTTAAAAAAATAAAAAATCTGGGCTGGCCCCATGGCTCACTCGGGAGAGTGCAGCGCTGGTAACGCCGAGGCTGCGTTCGGATCCTATATAGGGATGGCCGGTGCACTCACTGGCTGAGCGTGGTACAGGCCACACCATGCCAAGGGTTGCGATCCCCTTACCAGTCAAAAAAAAAAAAAAAATCTAAAGAAATCTACAAATAATGTTTCCGTGTCAATATCTATTGATGGGTTTTGCAGGCTGACTGTGCTGGGCATTGTTCTAAGCAAGGGGTGCCTGTTACCTGCTTCATCTCGAATGATGCAGGAGGAGGACCTGTTACCATCTGTGATCAGCAGATAACAGTGAGGTGCTGAGAGGGGTTTGCCCAGTGGTGGAGCTGGGTCAAGCCCAAGCCGCGAGCTGCAGCACCTGTGCTCCTAACTGGCAAGTGACTGGCTAACCTGCTGCAGTTTAAGTTCAGTTTCACATGATTTAAAGTGTTTTAATGATGTTATTTTTTATTATGTGATAAAATACACCTAAAACAAAATTTACCTTTGTAATCATTTCACATTTTTTTAAGTGTGCTAAAATACACATAAAATAAAACTTGCCATTTTTGTGTCCAATTCAGTGGCATTAATTACACTTATAATTAGTGTACAGCCATCACTACTACCTATTTCCAAAACGTTTCCATCACCACAAGGGGACCTGTGTATCTGTTGAAAAATGACTCCCTGTTCTCCCCCCCCTGCTCCTGGTAACTTCTAACCTACTTTCTGTCTATTCTAGAATTTGTCTATTCTAGGTACCTTGTCTATGTGGAATCATACAGTACTTGTCCTCATATGAATGGCTTATCTCGCTCAGCGTGGTGTCTTCCTCGTTCGTCCACATCATAGCATTCCTTTTCATGAGCATCATATTCTGTCACTGTGCATGTGCTGCATTTGCTTACCCGTTCATCTGTTGATGACACTGGGTTGTTTCCGCCTTCTGGCTGTTGTGAATGATGCTGCTATGAACATGGGTGTGCAAGCACCAGTTCAAGTCTTGGCTTTCAGTTATTTTGGGTATATACATAGGAGTGCTCATTTTAACCCTTTTAATGTGAACAATTCAGTGGCATTTCGTGCATTCACGATGTTGTGCAGCCACCACCACTGTCTCATTCCAGAGCATTTTCATCACCCCAGGAGGAAACCCTGTGCCCATGAAGCAGGTGCTCCCCGTTGCTCTCCCCCCAGCCCTTGGCAGCCATTAATCCACTTTCTGTCTCTATGGATTTGCCTATTCTGGACATTTCATATAGATGGAGTCATACAATGTGTGGCCTTTATGACTATTCTTTCTAAAACACCTTCTTATTATGGAAGTTTTCAATGTATATGAAAGTAGAAAGAATTGTTAAATGAGCCGTATGTACCCATGCTAAAATACATATAAAATTAAACTTGCCATTTTTGTGTCCAATTCAGTGGCATTAATTACACTTATAATTAGTGTACAGCCATCACCACTACCTATTTCCAAAACGTTTCCATCACCGCAAGGGGACCTGTGTATCTGTTGAAAAATGACTCCCTGTTCTCCCCCCTCCCCCCGCTCCTGGTAACCTCTAACCTACTTTCTGTCTATTCTAGAATTTGTCTATTCTAGGTACCTTGTCTATGTGGAATCATACAGTACTTGTCCTCATATGAATGGCTTATCTCGCTCAGCGTGGTGTTCTTCCTCGTTCGTCCACATCATAGCATTCCTTTTCATGAGCGATCATATTCTGTCACTGTGCACGTGCCGCATTTGCTTACCCGTTCATCTGATGATGACACTGGGTTGTTTCCGCCTTCTGGCTGTTGTGAATAACGCTGCTATGAACATGGGTGTGCAAGCACCAGTTCAAGTCTTGGCTTTCAGTTATTTTGGGTATATACATAGCAGTGCTCATTTTAACCCTTTTAATGTGAACAATTCAGTGGCATTTCGTGCATTCACGATGTTGTGCAGCCACCACCACTGTCTCATTCCAGAGCATTTTCATCACCCCAGGAGGAAACCCTGTGCCCATGAAGCAGGTGCTCCCCGTTGCTCTCCCCCCAGCCCTTGGCAGCCATTAATCCACTTTCTGTCTCTATGGATTTGCCTATTCTGGACATTTCATATAGATGGAGTCATACAATGTGTGGCCTTTATGACTATTCTTTCTAAAACACCTTCTTATTATGGAAGTTTTCAATGTATATGAAAGTAGAAAGAATTGTTAAATGAGCCGTATGTACCCATCACCCAGATTCAGCCATGGTTAAGTTCTGGCCAGTCTTGTTAATCAAAGTCTCTTTGCCAGGGAAGAAAAGAATTATGTGAACCGATTCTGGAAAGAAATCCATGTGGGAGACTTTGTGCATCTTCGCTGCAATGAGATCATCCCTGCGGACATTCTGCTGCTCTCCTCCAGTGACCCCGATGGGCTGTGCCACATCGAGACTGCCAACCTGGACGGAGAGACCAACCTGAAGCGGCGGCAGGTGGTCCGTGGCTTCTCAGAGCTCGTAAGTGACCCATGTTTCCAGGGAATCACAGGCATCATGGCCACACAGTGTCTCCTGTGCTGGAGGACAAAAAAAACAAGAAACAACTCTAAGACATCTCTGAGTGTACTAATCAAATTGCTTAGTTTAGAAACAAGAAAATAGTAATCTATGAAAATTAAGTTAATAATCTATAAACATTAAAATTACATGCATTATTACTTTGGACTTTATTGCAAAAGGAGAAAGTGGAGATCAGATCTTGACAGACTGTAATTTCAGTGTCCTGAATAAGGACTGAGAAATATTGACTTGGGGCTTGAAAGCAAAGTTGTCCAGAACCTATTAGAATTCATCTGATCTGTCTTTACTTTTTTATCAGCAGAGATTTGGTTTAGGAAATGCTCACACAGTTAGTCACAGAGTCTGCTAACATCTTATGGAGCTACTCTCTCAAACCTAGATATTTGCTGAAGGAGAGATAGGAAAGGCAGAAGAAAAGCAATACTGAGCTAAAAGAACATCATATGAGAAAACTTAGAAGAAAACCTTTTCCATGGTGAAAAATACTTCTCTATTGAAGAAATATGGTCAGAATTTTTTTTTTTTTTTTTTTTTGTCTTTTTTCATGACCGGCAACGGATCTCAACCCTCAGTGTTATGCCCGGACCGGACCGGGACCGGCTACGGGATTGCATCCGTCGGTGTTGCCCCCGCTCCTCGCTCAGCCAGTGAGCGGCCAGTCTGTATGTGGGATCCGAACCCTTGGCGGGAGCACCGCCGTGCTTCCCAAGCGGCACACTGTAGCAGTGCGCCACCGGGCCAGCTCATATGGTCAGAATTTTTGAAGTCTATTTTAATCATTTTATTTCTCCTATTTTTGTTTGATAATGGCAATGTATCCTTGTTAATGAAAAGTCACGAACAACTAGACATTCATTGTTTTCTATTAAGAAAAAAATTAAGATGTTAATTCACAGGTTGCCCAGATGTAATCATCAGGGAATTAATGTGTTTCCTTATGTGATTAAAAGGTACGTTGTTCCATTAAGAAGAAAACAGCCACCTGCATGTCAGTCATTATTTAATCAGAAAGGAAATGGACCAAATAGAATAATTCTACATTTGTCTTACTATGAGAAAGAAAAGTTATGAGCATTATGTATGTATTAAATAAATATATTAATCTCCTATTACTTTCAGTGTCTGGGTAGTAAGAATCAAATGAAAGAAACTAACTTGTTTGTCAAAATCATTATGAGGGTTTTTAAAAAAATCTCATGTGTAACCATGATATATCCCACATTTTTTCTACCATTATTTGCAAATTCCTTAATTCAATGGTATTTCTCTTCATATATTATTAAAAATTTATATCATAAATGAACCAGAACTAAACAATAACTGAGTTATTACATAAATATAAATATGAATATTAAGGAAAATATGATTAAATTATAAATATAAATTCAGCTTTAAGCTTTTTATATTAGAAAAATTAGCACATAAAGAAATATAAAAATTAGACACTGAGGAATGTGTTACTTTATTTTTTTTATTATTTTTTTCCTTTTTTGTCTTTTTTCGTGACTGGCAACGGATCACAACCCTCGGTGTTGCACCCGCACCTCGCTCAACCAGTGAGCGGCCCGGTCTGTATGTGGGATCCGAACCCTCGGTGGGAGCACCGCTGCACTCACAAGCGGCGCACTACAGCAGTGCACCACCGGGCCGGCCCAAGTGTTACTTTATTTTAAAAGCTATAAATCACCTCGACTTCTTTACAATCTAAAATAAAACATCTGATATAACATAATATTCATAGAATTGATTACTTTAATACATAATGTCAAAATATAGTAAATAAAAAGTTTTAACATTAATTAAATATGTAGAACAATTTTTGTGGCAGAATCTCTTGTGTCTGTTAAATATGTATACATATTATAAGTATGTGTACATATGTATATAACATCTGAATAAGAGTAGAGAATTGAAAGTATAATTAATTTTATTTGCATCCAGAGAGATAGAGAAATTAAGTTACTATTAGCAGCCTTGTTAATCCTAGAACCCCCTACTAATCTCTGAAATTTGTATGGACTATCATGACCTCGATAAATTCAGGTGACAACATTGAGAAATAAATATATGTATATATCCATAGATGGATCAAAAGGTAGATAGGTGATTGATAGATAGATGGATAGATATATCAAATTTATAGGAAACGCAAAAGTAATTAGCCAAGAGAGTAGAAAATTAGTGCTCTAGAAATTTTATTATTTACCGACCAGTTTTAGGTATATTTTCCTCTGTAGAGATGGTAATCTATTCACCATCAATCTTCTACTCACTTTTGGCATTCACACCCAATGCTTCATCCCAGATTCTTAGCTCACTTTCTGCGCTAACCCTGTCACTCTAGTTTATTTCTTTTTATGAAGACAAACCTGCTCACACATTTATCAAGAAGGCTATTAATGACATTTCTGATTGTGTTATAGGGCTAAGGCAATGATTTTTCCTAGGAACAAATGGGTCTATGCTCATAAAAAAAGGCTTTGGTTGTGAGGTTGTTCTGACAGTCATGAGGAAACTAAAGGTGAAGGGAGACATAAATTCCTAGATTGCTTCAGTGAGGATAAGAAACATCAGGGTTTTGAGAAAAATTCTCTTTGCAGAATTACCAGCTATATATAAACATCAGGTGTACTGGATCTATATTATCTTCTTTTAACTTTATGCAGATTGCTTAAATTCACTACTCAAATGCATAATTGTGATTATGAATTAAGATAAATTAAATTTTTTAAATGTCATTTTAAATGCAATTTACTATGTAGACACTTGAAACTGATGTTTAAAATAGTTATAAAATGTACAAAATATAAGCTATCCAAGATAAAAATAGGTGATCTTTGGGGTAACAATATATTTTACAAAATTAACATATCATAATAAGCTGACCAAAGTATTTGGAGTGCACCATATTCACATTTACATTGCCTTGTAGAGAAGCAAATGTAGCTACATGGTAAGAAATTCATTAAAATTAACTTATCTCTAGCTTTAATATTCCATTTTTTTTTCTTTTTGTCATTTAAATTACATCCTGTGTTTAGTGCAATTGTACATAAAATGTGCACAGTAACTTTTAGTCCATCTGTTATTGGTATCTGTTTTGTTTCTTTTTTTGAAATTATAGTAACTGTCATGAATTCTGAAATGGAGTATTCTTCTGGCCTTCTGGTTAAGATCGTTCCTACATCTGCTCCCAAGAAAACTGAAGTGAATGTGGCGTAGAATGCATTCTGTGGTCAATTATACCTCATTTATTTTGAACTGTTATGACTAGAGGTGTGTCTGAAATCTTGGTGACATAAAAATGCTCTAAAGATAGTCCCTCACTGAATGTGCAATATTAATAACACTCCTCTTTACACATGACTGACCCAGGAAAAATTGATTCTCTTCTTTTCCTTTTCACAATCTTAAATCAATGGCACCTGTGATATTTTTGCCTCTCCCCACCCCCAACATCCTTCATTCTCCTTATTCTTTAAAGACTAAGTACATCCTTGGAAATAAGTTATTTCTCTTGGGAACTTTTTAAGGGCTTTCTGGTACTTCTCTTTTGAGTAGGTAAAAGTAGAACAGACTTTAAAGGCCAAGGATTTGGATGCAAATATATCTTTTTCCTTACTAAGGATCTATATAAATATACAAATAAATAAAATTACGATAATTCTAGTAAATATATACCATCAATTTTTGATGACCAAGGCATATGTTTTGCAAGCAATTGAATCTGGTGTTAAATACTTCAATTTGGAAGTGCCTAACATATAACAAAATGGTTTGACTGTCAAGGTTCCAAACCTATAGAAATGTTCCTGTAGAAATAAACTGTAGTTTTATTATGGAAGTGTTGGCTAGAAGTTGTGTGTACAGAAAGTTGACTCTTCTCAATTCTTTGATTTTTCACCTGCCAAACATGTTCTGTGAGCTGGGGAACTTGGACTTGATGGTGCTTTTTAACTAAATCTAAATAATAGGATATACTATCATTGTTTAGCAGTAGATTGCAGTTTCACAAAGCAGTAATCTGGAAAACATATTAAATATAATATTATCTCAGTTTTGAAATATGCATGCTACTTCCCCTGCCTGAAACAATTATGCCAATAGTTGAGGTTACTCAAAATGTTTATCTACCAAACATTTACCTACAACTTCTCCAATTTATTCAGCAGTCACTTTCATCATAAAACTGTTCCTGCCCCTGTGCCCTCCCTTCTCCCACATATTTAAATAAAAATTTTGTCATTGCCCCTTCTGAAAATAGAAATAAGCCTAAAATAACTACATAGAAAAACAGTTCATTATTAGTCCAGTGTAAATGCTTCAAGATGATATGAAATAATTTGTATACAACGCAATTTACATCATAAACATATTTTACTTCGACGAATTACTTCATTAAGAAAAATAATTTTGACATATTCTGGTATTACTTGAGGATCTTGAAACAACTTAACCTCTTCGATTACAATTTTATGTTCTGTTTTACCAAACACAGTGCTTTTTAACTCATGGTGGTTGTGGATATTAATTAAAATTTTAATTGTAAATGCCTATGTTAAAATTCAAATACAGCATGTTTTCCATGATTCTCACATCTATTCTCAAATTGTTCTTAAATTTCTCCCAAATTTATTGGGTGTATTATTTACCTATTAAATGCACATGATAAATGTGTATAGTTCAAATATCAACAAAAGTTAACTCTGATCTATATTAAGACATAGAACATTTTCTTTACCTCAGCAAGTTCCCCTGGGCCCCTTTGCAGTCAACTTCTGCAGGAAACTCACCAAGCAAGCACTGATGTGATTTTCTTCATTACAGATTTACTTTTGCTGCTTCTATAATTTTATATACATGATATTATACAGTCTATACATTTTGTTTCCATAGGGAGAACTATTTTCCTCAATATAAACTTTCTTTTTATTTTTGTCT